TATTTATTTGCCTTCAAGTATTTATCTATGTTATTCGGGGTACTTATCCACATTAATCATATGATTTATGTAGTGTATTTTATCCCCAAGTATTTATTTTATTCAAAGTCAAGGTATTCATTTTTTACATCACATGTCATTCAGCTGACGTTTTTATCCAAAGCGACTTACAATAAGTGCGTTTCAACAAGGACAAAAACAAGAAAGTGCAATTTCATTAAAAAAGCCGATTTACAACTTGCTATAGATAATTATTATTATTATTATTATAATTATAGTATTATTGTCTTTCATCCACTTTTTCAGTCTTTTTTTCAGTCCAAATATTTCACCTTCATCTAAATAGTTTCTGTCCTATTCGTGGACGTAAAGCCTGGAAAGTCCACGAGACTCTGTTTCTCTCCCCGGCCTAACGGGGGTTAATTACTTTGTGGGGGGGAATATATCATTATTTTCAAGTATTTAGTTTAATTTCATGTCTAGACAAACTAAAACTAGCATCTCTAATTAAAGCATGTTTTTGTACTAAAATCAGTTGAAATGTTATCAGGTAGAAACACACCTGTTTATGTTCTGTGAAATGAGGTAAACATTTAATTCACCTGACGACATTGCGTTTGCATGAATATGGAGGGCAGTTATGGGTGAACATAACATGTGGCCTAGTTACTGGAGGCTGAGGACCTCGTGTAGCAGCTGTGGTGACGGTTGATGAATATGTGTTTGCATGAGCATTAATAGGCACCACCATGCAATTATAAGTGGACAAAATGCCTATTGATGTATATTAAACATACAAAAACAAATGGTTGTCATCCTCAGGAAGAAAAACATACAAAGATGACATTTCAAGGTCAATTCTTTAGCAAAACAGATAAAAGAATAAATGATGATGCATCCAGAGTCCTATGAGTTATAACCCGTCTAATGTAGATAATGAATATCAGATATAGTTTTGGTAGTTTATCATTGATTCGAGGTGTATGTGTGTGCAAACCTCTCAATGGACAGTTGTGATATTTCTTTCCGTTCAAGGGCATCAGAAATGTAATATTTATATGAAATAACGAACCCATTTATCTGGAAGTGTATTTTCGGGGAGGGGGGGGTAGCGCCTCATAATTTGCAGCTATTTAAAGCCTCGGTTTTGGTAATGAATTATTTTGTCATCTCGACGGTGATGAGATTCATCTTTAATAACTGTAACAATTATTTTATTAAAAAGAGAAGCCATGCATTACGGCTATCTCACCAAAGTCTCATTAAGCGCATTATATTGCCCCGCGTGCTTTCAGCTGGATGTCCCGCTGAAATTGCATTAGGTGTCAACAATGTTTGTGTTGGAAGTAAGCAGTCATATTTACAGAGGCTCGGCTTTCATTTGCCGGCTGACACCGGGAGACGTATTAAAAAAAGGAAAGATACTAATGTCCTGTATCTGATTAAGTCACTTAGAGAGAAACTCCTGCAAAGTGTTGACTTTTAATATAAGGCCGCGCCGCTCTCTCCACACATAAATCTTCATTTGGAGTTGAGGGAACTTTTGATGCTGGAGATTATACAGTGATTCCTTTGCCCCCCGACACCTTTCCCACAGACCTGTGAGCATCAGGTTGTTTGCGTGGTGATGGAGTGTGTCTGCTGATGGTTGGCGTGGTGTGCGGCGTTGTGTTAGTTAATGGTTTCGGGCCCGGGGTTGCTGCTAATGACACGCTTGTAATTGTTTGTCAGTGTGATAATGCAGCATTTCCTATTTCCTCGAGAAGTCGGACATTTGACGGAGGAGGGGTCTTGTCAGGAAGACAAAGTGCTGCCATTTGTCACCAGCTAAATGAGCTTCTCTCCTCTTGGTTTTCAACAGCAATATTACGCTCCCACATCCTTTTTTTCCTCTTTTCTAGGCGGGGAGCCGGGAGGCCGTTGCCTCACCCGCTGCACCCTGATTAAGATCAAACCAACGGTGAGATGGAACTCAGGTTGCATCCCGTTCTGCTGACGTGCAGAAACAGTTAACTGTATTTTACAGAAACACAGAAGTGAAATCACAGAATGTGGTAATCTGTTATTCTTAGTTTATGCCAGGAGTCATCACTTCCTTAAAAGGTTAATTCTATTTCATCATTGAGAGAGAGAGAGAGAGAGAGAGAGCTTTATCTGCTCCAGTAAACACTCAACTCTGGTTCTCTGGTTCTCCCGCTTCCTGTCCGCTCCGTCTCCACGGTGACGCCACAAACATCATCCCGTACTTCACCAAAGTCTTTGATGTAGTCACCCCCTAACAGGCCGCTTCTGTTTCTCATTAGACTGGTTCCATGTTGCGGGGGGGGGCGGGGGGGGGGGGGGGGCCTTTTTTTTTAAAAAGGTAAAAAAACCCCGGAAAAGGGAAGGGGGGGGGGGGGGGCCCCCGGGGGGGGCAATTTTTTTTAAAAATTGCCCCCTCCCCCCTTTGTTCCCCCCCCCCCCACAATAGATTTCGCTCTCACACACCAATCAGCTAAATGTAGCCTCCGCCTTCTTATGATTACCTGCTGAACACTGACCCCCCCCCCCCCCCACCTTCAAGGACAAACGGTGTAGGAGAAGGCCGATCCCGTGCGAAGTCCCCGAGCTCTCGCCGAGCAGCAGATCCCTTTTCAGTGCCAGCTGTTCTCTCGGATACGCCGGCCGCTGAAATTCTCTTAATATAATTCTGGGAGGGGGGGGGGGGCTCGGGGGCTCGGGAGAATTGTGCAAAAAAAAAAAAAAACGCATGCCAGCCAGGAGAATGTTGAATTTTTCATCAGAGGGCCTCGACTCGCCGAGTTACTGGGCAGCGCTCTCATTCATGAGCAGATGTTCAGCGCGGTTCCACTCTGCAGCTAACGTGAACTCGTTGGCCTCCGCCGCCATCGGCTGCAAGGACGTTGGCAGCGACCCGGCATCTGAGAATTAGTCCGGCCCGCGGCCTCCGGCCCGCTTTCTCTTAGCCCCTCCCTCAGCCCAGGAGCTGGATGCCGGACAGGGGGACGGCGCTGACAGCCCATCCGTCTTTGGCCCGACAGTGATGAAGCGCTCGCCACCGTTGGCTTGCGGGGTGGCGGGGGGGGGCGGGGGTCGGGGGTGTAGCCCTAAAGACGATTTCCACAAGTTTTACGGTGCTTTCTAATGACTCGCCAAACACGAAGCACTCAGCAGGTGAACTGCTGTACAACATGAACCACATGCCCCCCCCCCCGGGGCCCCCCTCCGACCCCCCCCTCGCCCCCCCCCTCGCCCCCTGCTGTTTGTTTAAAAAAGTTTTACATGCTGAGGAATAATTCCAGTGCTCTTCATAGAAACAAGGCACCTGTGAGGGGGGGGGGGGCAGTTTGGCCCTGGTCGATCCATAGCTGAAACCAGCTGGTGCTGTGGTCAGTCAGGGGGTGGGGGGCCGGGGGGATCGGGGGGGGCATCCTCTCACCAGCCCGGTGCTTCAGACATCTGCACGGCCAAGCTGCTCGGCCCGGTTTCATCTGTAGTGTCTCCCTCCAAAACGCTATTTGATGTAAAGTGCCGTTAACTGTCGCGGCGAGTACGTGACATCGGGTTGGGGGGGGCAGCGTGCCTGTGTGTGTGTGTGTGTGTGTGTGTGTGTGTGTGTGTGTGTGTGTGTGTGAAAGTCATCCCAGTGAAGTTGTGCATGTGGGATTAAAACAGTGAAAGCGACGAGCTCTTGTTTCCTCTGCGCGTCTCATTTTCACTTTCTAATTGGTCGTTTTCAGGTTGACTTTACGAGAGCAAAACTAATTAGTGTGTCTAAATTCAGCAGGAAAAAAAAAGAGAAGGAAAAAAGGAACCTCCTGATTGTTCTGGTTTCCTCTCCTGTCGCCCAACAATAAAATAAGACTCTAATCATTTATAAATTGCTGGTATTTTTAAACCCTGCGGCTGAATGTCACTCCCTGGTCCCTCGGCCTTTTGTTCACCGGGGGGGAGGTCCGGGGGGGTTGTGTGCTCTCTGTGCTCCGTGCGAAGTTCGGGCTGGTTTGGAACTTGTTTGAGGTGGGGCGCGTCTTGCTTTGATTTGGGACGTCCTGCCCGGCGGGTTTACAGAAGCGGTGACATTGCTGTTACCTTTATTCAAAGTGCTCCAGCTGCAGCGAGCCCTCAGGAAGCCCGGCGACGCCCCACACGGCGAGGGGGGGGGGCGGGCCCTGTTTGAGTTGGCCGACGCTCGCCTCTTCGGGGAACTTCTGCTGCCTCTGCAGAAAGGCCCGTGGCGGGGCAGCGGGGCAGCGGGGACTCTTGGGGGGCGGGGGGGCAGGATGGGCTCTTTCCAACCTCCCCTCCCTTACAGGAAACACATTTCGCTGTTTCTTCCCGCCGCGTTTGCAGGCGGAGGGGAGGGGTTAAGGTTGATGGGCGGAGGGGGGCAGACAGTGACGGAGCCCCTTGGGGGGGGGGGCAGTGCGGTTTAAGCAACTCGTTTGTGTTCAATAAGAAAACACCGTAAAACTTTTGCCGTTTTTATTTTTCCACCAGCACTTTGGGGACTCGTCCTTCCCGAAGCTCAGTAATTAAAACGTGGTGATCCGAGGTCAGCGAGGAGCAGTGTTTAAATGCAATTAGGGCAACGCTCAAATTCATTTACAGCTTTGGAAATGTGTCATTATTTGTTTAATCAAGGGACTTGTGGTTTAAGATGCTAAATATGAATCTACCATATGAACACACACACACACACACACACACACACACACACACAAAGCAGGGTCACTTTGAAATGAATATTCATTAAAGGAGAATTAAATAGGTTTCATAGTGTGTGTGTGTGTGTGTGTGTGTGTGTGTGTGTGTGTGTGTCATCAGCACACCACAATCAACCAAATAGCATCAGAGGTGGATTCACTGTTGCCATTTAATGAGATTGAAGAACAAAAATATAAAAACATGCATGTGTTTGTTTTCTGTCACCTTCATGTTGCAAATAATTTCCCCTCTCTGCCCCCCCTTTCTGCCCCCCCCCCCCCTGTCTCCTGCAGCCTGGAGACTCCGGCGGCGACGTCCTGTGGAGCCAGAGATCAAAGTGAGTTCTCCTCGTGTCCCTCAGCGCCACCGGGAGACACGGTCTGACTTTTGGACACTCTTGTTGTTTGATTGACGTCTCTTAGAACAACGTGGCCGTTTCACATCGAGAGCAACTAAGTGATCGATTGGTTTCCTCGCGTACTCACTCACTTCCCTCTGAGTGACGCCGGCGGCGAGGGCCAGACGGGCGCCACGTCCTCTCCGCGTTGAAAAGTTGAATCTGAAAACACGCGGCCGTACGTCTGCATCCGAGGCCGAACTACCCAAGAAGTAATTACTCCTTGTGTGTGGTATAAACACGCGTGTGGTGTAAACACACAACACGGCAGCCTTCATGGAGGCCAGACTTCAGCTTAAAGCCGCCGTTTGTTTTATTGCCCCCGTCGACCGTGGTCACACGTAGTCCTCGTCTCTCCGGTTCCTCCGGCTCAGCGTGTCTCTGGCGTGTTGATGGCGTGTTGATGGCGAGCGGCTGACACGCGTAAACTGTCGTTATGTAGATGTTTTTATATGTCATTACATAATATGGTGGTACTTTTTGCAGGATTGCAGCTGTTTTATCTGATACTTGAAGTAAATGAAGGAATCACATTATTTGACGTGTCATCTATTTTGCACAGAGAAGATGACATGCAGTAAGTGTGAGGGTCTAATTACACAGCAGCACTACTTTTCAAGGAGGTGGAGGTGGAGGTGGTGTCCACACGCTCTGTTTCTGTCCTCCACAGTGCATAAACTGCAACGCGCTAAATGACTTTGTTAATAATTGGTTAATACAATAAATCTTTAGTTGTTTTATTTACTAACAGGTCATAATTTCATACAAGAAAACCTACATTGTAGAAGATTACATTAGAATACATCCTAATAACCAGTTAGCCTTTGAACGTATCGTGATACTCGGTGGAAAGATAGTCAACCCGGACCCGTTGATCGCGTTCCTCTCGGGTCTTTCAGTAGCACGCCGTTAACTCTTGTCTTTTCGTGCGTCTCCACATATGAGGGATGGAAGCCGCTGTGTGAATGCACCCCTCTTACAGGGAGCCCATGTGTGAAGCCATGAATATGCATATTCCTGTTCACGGACTCCTTAGCCCCTGTGAGCGGGGGTGCTGGGGTTCGGGGGGCTGGGGGACTGGAGGACGATGTGAACCCGTATTTTTAATAAAGCCCGGCTGCCGAATGATCAAATAGAGTCTCTAATTAAGGCCTGCGTGTAAAACTCTCTCTGGAATGCTAACAACCTGTGATATATCCAGCGGAATTTGCTGCACAGGTCTCTGGGGCGTTTGGGTGGGAGGGGTTAAGGGGGTGGGGGAGGGCTGAGTGTTTGCGGCTTGGCGGGGGAGGCGGGGCAGCGTTCGCGCGGCACGCCAACATGTTGTTCACATCCGTGTCAGATGGAGGCTAATGAAGGCCAGGCTGATCCTTTTGGATGCAAGCCTTAAGTAAATGATCCCTCTTTGAATATATTAGTAACCCCCCCCCACCCTCAATGCTTTACCGTGGCAGCGCTGCAGCGCGTCGTCTCGTGGTCTGACGGGGCCGGTCGAACCGCCCGTCACGGCCCTCGATCTCGCCGCTCTTCATCCCCGTCACAGGCGGCGTTGCCGCGCTGGCACAGACTGATCTTTTGCAGGTTCGTGCTTGTGACAAACAGTTTGATAGTAAATGGAAAGTGTGAGTGTTTTGTCATTTGACTGTAAATGAGCCATCGGAGTACGTCCCCCCTCCCTCTGCAGCAGCAGCTGCATTTACATAACAGGCAGAGGTTTGGTGCTTATGTAAATTGTTCGTGTAGACGTTTTTTCCTGTTTTCTTTTTATATAATATTATTATTTATCTAGAAAGAAGTAAGAATGTTTATTAAACTATTCAGGAATAATAAAATATTAAGGCAACAGACAGAACTTTCTCCTCTGCAGTACGACTACACTGGCACTTTGCATGTAAATGAATGCTAAACGTGCAATTACGAGGCACTTTTGAATATTGATTGGAAAGACAAGGACGTAGAAATGAAGCACTCGTGATGCAGCCTCCCCCCCCCCCCCGAACGCTACTGTAACAGCCCATTAATAAATACCTCTCTGGGTCTTTAGTGCCGGAATTGCCTGAAACAACGTGGTTTGATTTTCGCTGATATGGCGTGTGTACTTCACAGATGGATGGATGGTGGGGTGGATCCAATTAGCCGTGGTCGCTGCTCGTGTATTTAAGCTGACAGCGGGAGTCCCGCGTTGAATATCCTTGATTTCGCTTCTTTTTTCTAAAAATGCTCTTCGCCAGGCGCTTTTAAAAGCCCATAAAGAGCACATTGTGCGGAAGCACCTCAGATGGAGATTTGATTTACAGCTGCAGCAAACTTTCTCAATTAGGAGGGAAATAATTGATTTTCAGAAGCACAATGACACGGAGCGCTTAAAGGATGATGAAGTGACCAACATCCCCCGTTCTCGCTTTCTTGTTACACGCAATCGACACGACAATTACTTTTGACTTTTCCCCGCAATTTCCTGCAGGCTTTATTAGCAGATAATGCATCTTTTAATGCTACAGCGCGCACTCTGTGCCTCGGGACACCCGGGTGCAGAGGTGCGCGTTGTGTCTGGCGAACGCCTCCTGACCTCCCGCAGGACGCGCCGGCCTGTTTGTGAGCGCGAGAGCGTCTGCAAACACAGACAGAAGGCTGGCGTGGGGGATTGTGGGGGATTGTGGGGGGGGCGGTCTGCCCCTGGCGGACAGACGCGACGTGACAAGCAACAGATGTTTTGCACAAAGCTGGGGCGCGCGCCCGCCATCAGACGCCGGGCGCCGCGAGGAGGCTGGCGAGCTCGGCTGGCAGATGAGACAAGCCGGCGCCGCTCGCAGCTCCCTGTCTGCGCGAGGACACGCCCGCTTGTAGGCCGCCGTGACACCCCGACTCACGCTGCCCTCAAAGAGCGTCACATCAGCCGGCTGACAGGTAGGATCCCAACGAGACAACAGCCAGAGGGGGGTGTCCTCTTCAAGCACTGGGGGAGAACAAAATAACATCATATGACATCATCCCCAATGCTCTTTATGTGGTCTCCTTCTAGTTCGGGGGGAGAAGCTTGTATGTCGTCCCGTGTGACGCCTGCACGCACACAGCGAGAGCGAGGCGGGGACTGAAGTCACGCTCTTTCCGTCCATGATGCCCACTTCGTGCAAACTGATTGTGGTGTTTGACGGCGAAGGCGAAGCTTTGCTCGGAGGACCCAGTAATGTTGTTCTCGGCAGCTTAATCTGCCCGTCGCCGCTGCCCCGTGAGCAACCAGCGCGGCGGGGAATCGGCATCCATCACCGGAACAAGTGAATGAATGAAGGTGCAGCAGCAGCAGCTGCTTGACTGACTGCAGACTGTCACCCCCCCATCTGTTTACCACTCCGACAGCCACACAAGTGTTTGTATCCGCCGCTGTAATTGAGCTATTTTCCCGAGGGCAGCTGTGACCCACGCTAAGTTACATTCCAACTTTCCATTAAAGCGTGTGTGTGTGTGTGTGTGTGTGTGTGTGTGTGTGTGTGTGTGTGTGTGTGTGTGTGTGTGTGTGTGTGTGTGTGTGTGTGTGTGTGTGTGTGTGTGTGTGTGTGTGTGAGGGGGGGTCTGACAGTAATCGCTGCCAGCAACGCCGCTATGTAAATACGGCTTATCAGCTTCGCCAATTTGGTTAAGTGACACCAACGTGGGTGAGTCCGGCGGAGGCCGCGTACACCCGTCCTATTAAACGCGCAGGTAACTTGCGTTGTCGCGCACAGTCGGTGTCAAAGCAACACGCCGTACAAAAAAAAAAAAGATGCAAATGGCCCTCGCAGGCATCAGCCGGCACGTGGGCAAGCTTAACTGTCTGGATGGATGCACAGTGTATGGAAATTTGGAAATATCTCAATCTCAAACGCACCGTTTAAATATTCAAATGTTAACGGCAAACAATATAATGCACTGTGGCTTTTTTGCATTTGCCTACAACTCTGTTTGCCGCCAGGAGCCGGGGGATGATACCGGGCCGAGGGAGGGAGAGGGAACACTGATATGGAGCACACAAACAAAGCCTTTGTCTTAGGAAAATAACATCTGATAGCGGTACCAGTTCGTAGAAAGAAATCCTTCCGTGTTGCCTTTTGCTCCGTTGCACATTCTGCGTCAATATTGGCTCAATCTGTTGTTTGCTTACATACGTTCATGCGGTTCGCTGAGAAGGAGGGTGAGAAAGCAGGAGCGGGACGTGCAAGAGAAGAACCAGGTAGATCTCCTGCAGGCGTGATGGAGCGTCTGCAGCACACAGTCTAGTTTAATCTGCCACGTGCTTTTAACGTTAACCAACATTTCTATACACAAATTTCACTCAACTCAAAAAGCCACAAACATTTGCTCTGATTGGTCAAAACGCTCTAAACGGTCTTGAGCGAGTATCCGGTCATCCAGCAGAACAACTTGATAAATATTTGGATCACATGAAGAACTGCCCTCAAAGTGAGATTATTAAATGTTTCTTTATTCAACTTGTTTTGAGTTCATGGAAACATTGATTTTGCTGCTTTTTGAGAAACAGCTATTTTCTAACCCCAAAGAACACTGAAACTCAACATTTCCCTTTCGCCCCACAAAGACTCTCATTGTTACTGACCGTCTCCACAAGGTCTTTATCTTTTTTCCATAACTGGAACCCACCATTTTGACCTTTGTTTGCACGATTCTCAGAAGGTGGACCGGGCTGAGTAATTGATCACACAGTGATTGGCGGTTTAGCCGGTGTCAGTCAGCGTGGTTACATGGATTCCAATAACTGGCTCAGTCGGACTGAAATCAACCTTTGTCCAACTACGATCCGACTAACACGCCTGGATAACTCCATCCGATCCGGTTGGTAGTCCGACTATCGCGGCATGTAACGGTGAATCGGATGAGGAACTGGACTGGATGCTCGAGATCCCGACGGCGTCTTCTCTCCGTTATCAAATCAGCCAATAGCGCCA